TCCTCCAAGTCTCGCCGCCCTCCCCCCACCCACATCGTCTTTGGCCGCAACCGCATTGCGTAGGGTGTAGGAGGAAGTGGAGAGGATCATTCACGAGCATCAGGCGGTTGCGGGGAAGCCCTGCCGCGACGCCGCCCCCTTCCGTCGCCCGAAACCCAACGACGACGACTCCAACAACGGCTCCATCGACGATGACGGGGGAGCCGCCTACCATGCCGGCATGGCCTACAAGGTCACCGTAAGTATAGGGTAGTGTAGGGTTAGGTTTTTAGTTTACAGGACAAAAATTTTCCTGTTGTATGTAAAAATCATCCTGGTTTAAATGAATATCATTCGGATTGTTCGAGTTTGAATCAAATTTATTCATTTTCGTTAATGTTCATTTGAAATGTAACTGAACATATACGGATGGTTTTTTTTTAGGGTTATACGGATGGTTTTAGATGGCCGGCTCCCGCATCCGTGTTCACGAACTGATCCCCTTGTCCTCGGACGGATGCGAGAGCAAATATACGGGTCAGCGTTGAATGCAAATATACGGGTCAGCGTTGAAGATGCCCTTAGCCTTCATATCCATATGGAGCACACTTATATGTAATATAAAGGCTGTCAATTGCTCTTAGAATAATTAGATCAGTTATCAGGGGCATTTTGTTATATCTCAGTATGTAGCTGTACATCACGATCGTGAAGTCGTGAAGACCTGGTGCGTTGTTTCGGTCAGTACTTGGAGATCCCTTGTCGCTTTTCTCGATGCATGGAGAAGATTATTCCTCAGAAAGTTTCAACCTCAGTATGCAGCTGTACATCACGATCGTGAAGTCGTGAAGACCTGATGCGTTGTTTCGGTCAGTACGAAAAGACTGCCCCGATATGCATGTCCAATCCAGTGAACTGGGGCGACCTTGACTCAACAGGTCCGTCCATGGTCGCAACGAAAATACGTTTTTTTGTTAGAAAAATACAGAGAATATCTAACGACAATACGTGCGGCGGTGCTTCCGGCTCGCATGAGACAGGATCCCAGGTCTCTGCGAGTACTGGACACAGGTGTACTGTGTGGACAGGACGTGTTACGGAGAACCCACGGCAGTGCGAATCGGTCCATCCCGCTGGTTTTCTCCCGGCGAGCTGCAATCACGGCGGACCAGACGAGTGGAAACCTCGTTCTCAGTCGTAGTAGTACAGCGAGAGCTTCTCAGAAGACGTACGTACTGCCTCTCTCACAGCGACACTCCGGTCATGAATGGCTCCGCGCATCTTGGAACAGAGTAGCTGATTCAGAGAGCACCAGGATTCCAGATGTCTCTGGACTGGCTAGGGATATCATCAGGCCAACACATCAAACGTTTGAACCTGGCGCTAGGCCGTGTCGACTTTTCGACACGGTGCGGCCGTACTACTGCATCGCCCCGGTCATCTCGGGCGTCGCTGAGTGAGAGACCGAGAGTGATCGAGTACCTAATTTTTCTAGAGGATTGGGGCCTTGCCATCCTTCTCGCGAAAGTATCGATGGAAGACGCAGCGGAAGTATCGATGAAAGACACAGTAAGGATCGAGCCGGATCTGCTTGTCGCCGGAGCTGTCCTCCTTCTCCTTCAGTGACAATCCGGCCATGTCACGGACCGCCCGATTATGCTCTCGGATTAGGGCGCGTGTGTTCCTTCACTATCGTTTCTTCACAATGTGGGCGCAAATCGCTTCCTCCTCTGCGGCCGCCCACGCCGCCGCATCAGCCGCCTCCACCGCCGCCATTTCCACCGTGATACGGGCCTCGGCGGCCCTTATCTTCTCCTTCCCACGGCGGGCCACCCGTTCTCGGTGGGACTCATAGTCTGCCCGGCCGGTGATATGGATGGAGAGATTTTCCGGCTGCCAGGACCGCGATGATCCAGCCCAAGAGGACTCGAGTGCCCATTGAGCCAACGCCATGGAGTCGCGCCGGACAGATCCGTCCGTCGGCCGACCGCTGTCCTCCCAGGAGCGGCGGAGTGCAATGTGGACCGCCATTGCCTCCTCCAACCTGCATGGGATGACACCCCAGTCGACGTTTCCGGACCGGTCGAGTCAGATCCGATGCCCGCCATGCCGAAGACGGTTTGAGATCGCTGGAGGTCAGCTCGGGTGGCGGAGGGAGTGGAGGGGAGACGGTTGTGAAGTGGCTAGGGTTTGGTCCGGCGAACGGATGAGAACGAATATATATGGGATCGGGTGGGCCAGCATGGGCCGGGTTCAACGTGACGGACACGCCTAGGCGCCCTCGTATCTGCCCCATATTTGGGCTGGATATGAGGGGTGCCGGTTAGTCCGGGCGTTTAAGGCTCGTTTGAGGAGTTTGTCTGAATCGAAAAATCATGATCGGGTGGCCCGCCCGGGCGTATGAGGCGGGTTTGAGACGCCTGCTTTGACAATTTAGTCCTAAGCAAAACACAATGCGACAGGTGGCGGCCAAGTGGCGAGACCGATCGTCACATGCACTTTTGCGCAAACTCCCCTACCATTTTCCCTATTCGACCCATAGGAGAACTCAACTATATTAAATTTGTCTCCTCGCACACATTCCACTTCGTTGCCATCCACGTTCTGTCTCGTCGGGGCCGACAGGAGCTCAGCGGTGATCGCCTACTGATGACATCAACCACCACGACATCGTCGCCGGAGTTAATCGGTGGTGTGAAGGCGCCTCCTCCGCTCATCTCGTCTGCCAATTCGGCATCTTCCCTTCGGAGTACTCTGAGTCGTCTTCCTCACTCTTCTCACCTCTGCTCCGTTCGTCAAGTGTCGGTTCCGCCGTCGACAACGCCGCTAATCGGTGTGATTCGAGCTTGATTCAATGCCGTCTAGTGTTGTTGCTTGCTTAGGGTTCTTGCAGAGCTGTAGAGCTAGGGTCTTGCACGCATATTGGGTGGGCTCATTAGCTTAGGTCGCTTGCTCGCTTTACTAGCTTCAGTTCGCTCGCTCGGTGTCGTACTGGTTTGCCTGATTTTTCTTTCATTTTTCAAAAAAAAAAAATCTTTCTTTTTCTTTCCGTTTCTTCTATTTCTTTAGTGGTTTCTTCGGTTTTTTGTTTTTTTGTTTTTGCTGGTTTTCTTGGTTTCTTTCATGGTTTTTATTGATTTTCTCCTTTTATTTTTTTATTTCGTTCCTTTTTGGTTTTCACTGGTCTTTTATTTGTTGTCTTTCTTTCTTTGTTTTTCCTCATTGTTCTATTTGTTTTCCTGATTTTTCTTTTTCTTTGTTCCTTCTCATATTCATTCTTTCGCATTGTTATCTTTTGAATTTTATTTCCTTTTTGGTTTTAATTGGTTTTCTTCTCTTTCCTGTGCTTTTTGTCAATTTTCATCTGTTTCTTTTTTGTTTAACACATGTTTCTTTTCTGTACAGATTCAGAATTTTCGCTATACAATAGGCACATTTTTCATATACACTTTTAACAGCTTCTCAATGCATGGTTACATTTTCTTTGTTTCTTTCAGGGTTTTCCTCGATTTCCTTTTCGTACACATTCCGTTTTTTTCTTTGGGTTTTGTTTCTTTCATGATTTTTCAATGGTTTCTTTTGTTTTCTTTGTTTCTTTTTGCGGTATTCATTTTTCTCCATTCTTTTGCACTTAGTTTTTCTGTTTTGTTTTTCATGTTCCTTTTTTATTTGGTTTCCTTTGTTTCGTTTTTGGCTCTTTTGTTTATTTTGGTTCTTATTCTACATTTTTCATATATATCAAGAGGATTTATCTAATACTCCCTCCGTCTCAAAATAAGTGTCTTAATTTTGTACTAGCTCTAGTACAAATTTGTACTAAGCTCAAGACACTTATTTTGGTATGGAGGGAGTACAGGTTTAATATTTTTCCAAATAAGTTTAACATTTCTTGAATACATGGTCAATTTTTTTATATATACACTTTTAACATTTTTCAAATGGTTGATTAACATTTTTCAAATATAAGATTGACATTTTTTTAATACATGGTCAATTTTTTCTATAGAGATTATCATTTTCAATTGCTTGAGTAAAAGATTTCAAATAAAAGATTAATATTTTTCTGATACATGGTCAACATTTTTTCTATACACATTTAACATTTTTGCATTGGTTTTCTTTCGGTTATATTTTATTTTTGGTTTTATTTGTTTTTCTCTTTTGGTTTTTACTGGTTTTCTTCGTATTCATGTGCTTTTTGTCAATTTTCATCGGTTTCTTTTTTTGTTCAACGCATGTTTTTCCCGTACACATTAAACATTTTTTGATACATCAGGAACATTTTCTATATAGAAATTTAACATTTTCCCTATTCATGGTTAAAATATTTGAAAACTTATATTTTTTTACGTCTATTCTTTTATTATATACGTTCTGATGTCTACTTTCTTCTCATACACCTTGTACATTTTTTGTATTCATATGAAACATTATTTTTATGCATGTTCAACATTTTTAAAATACCTGATTAACATTTTTTAAATGTGTGTTTTGATGTTTACAATTTCTATATACATCAAGTACATTTTTATACATGTTTGACATTTTTTTTAAACAATGATTAATTTTTTTAAATACATGCTTCGATGTCTGCTTTGTGCCATACACATTTGTACATTTTTCATATACAACTGAAACATTTACCTTGTATATGTTTTACATTTTCCATATATATGCTTAACTTTTTTCAAAACACATGTTTTTGAACAGTGTTGCTTTTTTTTTCACGAAAGACTGGTAATATAATACAAAGATTTAGACGACGTATCAAGCATTTACCACACTAAATCAAATTTGAAAAGCGAACTTCGCAAAATTGATGAAATAATAACTCACATATATATGCATTTTTCCAGAAGATACATAACCATATAAACACCGAAATTTGTATATGTATAATTGGCAAAATGAACAGTAACATAAAGGTACCTATAACAATTGACGGTTTATTCTATTTTTGATGCTACTGATTTCTTGCTTTCGAATACAAAATAAACAAAGCAAAGCGATGGTGTGATTACTTAACGACCTGACTGCAGACTATTAACAACTTCCTTCTCGATGCTGAAATATTCAGCACTGGTTATTGTCGAGCTGACCACCGATGAGGGCTCCGCAAGTAGGCATTCCATCTCTTGAGGGTCCCGCTGCACCCATGGATGTTGCATCACCTTCCTCAGACTATCAAGCTTTTCAGCAACTTCCTTCATCGATGGCCTATTGTCACCACACATCTCTAAGCAACGCATCGCTAGCTCCGCAATCTCTTCAAGAATCTCTGTGTTATTCCCGTCCTTGAGCTCAACATCCAAGATTTGCTCGAGCTTATTCTCCTTCATGGCATACATAAACATCATCGCTAGGCTCTTTTCATGGACAAGGACATCCGGATTGAAATTAAAAGGTAACTTGCCCGTGAGTAGCTCCAAAAGAACAACCCCAAAGCTGTATACATCACTCTTGTCTGTCAGCAGGTTGGTTTGCATGTACTCCGGATCGAGGTACCCGCAAGTACCATGTACAAGTGTGATGAATTGTGACTTATCAATTGGTGCCAGGATGGAGGCACCAAAGTCAGCTACTTTGGCTTTGTTGTCCCTATCAAGAAGAATATTGGAGGACTTGACATCACCATGGAGGATCGGTGTCGAAGCCGATGAGTGAAGATAGGAGAGCGCATCGGCCGACTCGTGGGCGATCCCCAAGCGAGTAGCCAAGGAGATACGTAGGCCATGGTTACCGTGTATGAGCTGGAAGAGGGTGCCATTTGGGACGAACTCATATACTAGCACGGGGACTTCCACTTCGAGGCAACACCCAAGGAGCTTCACAATGTTTCTATGGTTGACTTCAGATAAGATTAGCATCTCTTTACCAAATTCTTTCTTTTGTTGCTCGTCGGCGGTATTGCATCTCTTCACCGCTACTTCCACGTTGCCCTCAAGAATCCCCTTGTACACAGTCCCATAGCCCCCTTGACCCAGTACTTGTTGCTCACTAAACCTGTTCGTGGCTTCCTGTAGTTCTTCTTTCGTGAAAATTTTGAATGAAATACCTTGCTTTGACCTCATCTCATCAAATAATATCAGACCACCGTGCTGCCGAAAGTAGTCTCGTTTCATCTTCTGTAGCTTTCTTCTCTCTTGGATCATGCATGCAGATGCTAAAGCAGTCACTAAGGCGACTAGTCCAACAGTTGTACCTGCATTATCCATGCACATAGAGTTATATTTATAATACATCTGTTCAATACTAATGTAATTTTGTTGAGCAGTGACAACTTAAAGTACTCTGTCGAGGAGAAAGAAAAATACTGGTTGATGAGTTTGGTAGGCCAAGATAAAGTTTGCCGAACACGGGTCGTTGTTACTTGTTCAACAACATAATAATAGTGGACTGGACTATAATAATAGTATAAAGTCTGTAAGTTTCCTACAGATGTCCGATTAATCATTCATAAGTAGTATGTATGTTATATATAGTGCTCACAAAGAGAATAACTCACCTACAACAGGCATCACTGGAAAACGGGATTGACAATTGCCATTAGTCCAATTTTTTCCACGTCGACATGAGCAGGTGTAATGCCCTGCCGTGTTCTCACACATTTCAGAGCCGCAGATAGTAGCATTTTGAAGGCACTCGTCAATATCTGAAACAAAACATTTTTTTTCCGGATCAACTTCCAAGGTGTGCATACACATGTGACTCATGAATCAAGGTACACGAGCGTTCATGTCAAATGTACAAGACATCAAAAGGGAAAGAACCTTGGCATCCGTTCTGGATATAAGGGTTGCCTTCGTATCCATCGGAGCACCTGCAGCGGTAACCTGGCTTGTCGCCGGTGGTGTTTACACACGCGCTGTGGTCGCTGACGCATGCATAGGAGCTCATGTTCTTCTGAGCTTCGTCGCAACTCAGCGGTCCTGCCCGCCAGTTCAGCACGAGTGGAACTGTCCCATTGTATGCATCATAAACACCGTGGATTCGACATAGCTGGTGCGGAAGTTGAAAGCCTCCTTTTCCATCAATACCATGTAGCTGCAACGGCTGTAATGCCATATTTCCGTGGTGTTGTAGCTTTGGTCGAAATTACCATTATAAAACCGTACGCCTGTCGGGACATCAACTTGGCAGCAGCCGGCGCCGGAGCATGTGCCATCCATCAAGGTGTCGTCGCACGTTGACTTGCAACCTATTAAATACTGCACCCAAAAAGTGTAGTAGTACATGAGAATATGTGACGTCTTGAACCAAACTATGTATGTTGGTAGAATTTAGGGGCATTTTCAAAAGCAACCCGCAAATTTTCTCTTACATCCATTCGCGAATAGGAAGGTCCGGTCCGCTGACACAGATGCGGGAGGCCGCCATCCAACCGTAGCCGTATATATTCTCACAACAACTCGAATCAATCGGACGAAATTCATTCAAATAAGTCCAAATTTTATATAAACATGATGAATTTCACGTAAACCAAACGAAAACGTTTGCAATTTGGATATATTTTAATTAAAAAGGTAAAACTATGGTACGTACGGTCGCGCGGAGCTCCACCACAACACATATACACTACGCTAGTCTATGGCCGGCCGCGACTTGTCTTCCCATGTCCGTCAGCCTGCTCACGGACTGCCGGGATCCCTGGAGGTATATGTTTCAGCGCAAAGAGCGCCTTGCTTCCCTATCGCTCATCAGAGTGGAAGGGGGCGTCTCCGCTTCCGTGGAGCCCAGGCGGTGGGTCGAAGATGGTCTGCGCTGAAGAACCGGGCAAGACACCGGCTGTGTACGCAGGCTTCACCTTGGCGGTGGCTTTCCTGGGACCAACCGGCGGCGGCTTCCCGTGTTCTACTCCCCCTCGATGTTGGCGGCGGACGCGGACGCGCCGGCGGCCGACTCATCGATCTTCCTGCAGCCGGCTTCTTTCTCTGCCTGCATTTGCACAGGTACGCGTGCATCGATAGCGGACGACGTGGTCAAAGGAACTGGAGGCGCGGTACGACATGGCGTCGTCAACGACGGCGACGATGGCCATGCAGCCGTGCTCCCCGTCGTGCCGGCCTGGAGCAACCCGCTAGTCCTCCGTGAGCTGGCTTGGAGCGACGAGTTGTTGAACCACGCGCCGGCTTGGGGCGGTGACATGCTTCGTCGGGCTAGGTGAGGGGGGTGGAGTAGCAGCGAGCTGCCTCGCTCGTATCCGGCGGGCCACCCACCCGGCTTTTATGCCGGAGAATTGGTCTTCCTGCTCGTCGGATACCATCGAAAGGGTGGAGAAAGTGGTGGAATGAGGAGATGGGGAGCGGTGGACTTGGTGGTGCGATTCTTGCCCGGCGTTCGGCCTCATTTAAATAGAGGACGGACGAAAGGAGCTTGCCCAGTGTTGCATTTAATGTCGGCCCGCTCGTGAACGAACGTGTGGCTTGAGTAGGTTCCTCGACTTCCACACGGGTTTAATAGATGCGTTTGAATGCGGCGAGGAGGCGTGTTCAGCCGGGTGTGCAGCAGGCGGCGCCCTTGGTTGGCACACCGCTTTAATGGCGGAGGCAGCGAGAGGCTACGTCCGCCCTGAGACACCTTCATTGTGGAGCTGCGCGCTCTACAACGGTATGAAAGTGGGCAACTGGTGCCGGGCGGGAAGCG